CCCCCCACACTAAGCCTCAGGACGCCTCAGCTTGAAGTCCCACTCAGTCACTCCCTCCAGTAATACCAGTGCCCGTGTACCCACGAAAGGCTGGGACTAGGAGGGCATCTCCCAGACATACATTTGATGATGGAGAAGGTTGAGGACCAGAGAGGGACAGCTACTCGCCCAAGGTCGCACAGCAAGGCCCAAGATACACTCAGCCCTGACGCCTCCCTGCACCTGGCTCTCAGAGCTGTATGTGCGTGTCCAAATCTCTCAATGGACCACGGTTCAAATACCTCCCCCGACCCCATACACAAGCCCCAAGCCCCCTTACCTTCCAGACCCCAGCGGTGCCTGCCTCTGAGCCGGTTCCTGGGCGGGGCGTTCAGGCGAGCCCAGCCTAGGCACGACTGGGCTAGGTCAGGGCGGATCCTCTGCTCCCTGTGGGATGGGGATGCCCTCTGTTAGGTCCCAGGCGGCAGGGATGCTGCTTCCACTGCAAAGCCCAGTCTCTTCACCCTGCTCTGCACGAACCTGAACCCAGAGAGCCAACTCTGCGGCGTGGCAGCGGGGCTGCGGGACACACGGCGGGGGGAGGGGGGGTGCGGGGAACAGGGCGGAGCCGGAGTGGAGGCCACCCCGCGAGCTGCCACTTGGGTCGCGGCCCCTTTAAGGTTAGCTGGCCTGAGAGCTGGAGAGGCAGGGCTGAAAGCGCGTCTATTCGCCGCAATGCCTCCTGGGAGATGGAGTTCATTCTCGACCCAGAGAGCCGCACATGATCTAGAGAAAACTATAAGTCCCAAGATGCAACTCCTGCGTCCTGAGCCGCCAAGCCCCTGGGCTGGGCTCTGGCCCTCTGTCCCCGCCCCTTATTCCCCCCAGGCGAAGCTGCGTTGGCCGCCCGCGGAGGGAGGCTGCTGAGCGAGGGCTGGAGGTGGGTGAAGCACGGCGGGGGGCACAGGGCGCAGGGATGGGCGATGAGGGGACGCGTGCCCACACAGGCACCTGTTGTACTATGAGGCTGTCTACTGCAGCCTCATTGTTATCATCTGTGAAATGGGGATCGCACCATCAGTGGCCACGGGAGCCGGGACACTGGTGGAAGAGAGCGGAGAGGAAGAAGGCGGGGCTTAGGGAAGGGGGCGGGTTGGTGGGAGTGGTCAGGACGGGTGGTGCTGATAGAGAGAAGCCCGGCTGGTTAGGGTCTGGACTGTGGGAGGAGTCTACGGTGGATTAGGCTAAGAATGGGCGGAGTCTCAAGGTGAGAAGGCTGGGGCACCTGTCGGAAGGAATAAGGAAGCCAGGCTTGGGGAGTGGGTGCTGATGCAAGCCCGGGTTCAATTAGGTTTGGATGCGAGAGGAAGGAGAGAGACAGATGAAAGAGAACCCTCCCCGTTCTGAAGAACCCAGTTACCCAAGGGATGCCTAGAGCACCGCCCTTTCCTGTGACTAGAAAAGCGCTCATCTCTGAGCTCAGTGCGTCATACACATGATCTCATTCAATCCTCACACCCCGCAAAGGCGCCACCATATTTGTTTACAGGTAAGAAAACAAGTGTTTACACTGGGAGAAATCAAGTGACTTGTCCCAAACCACCAAGACTGCCTGTCTGCCAGTAGACTCTGCTTCCCCCATGGAAGTCTGGTCTGGAATGGGTGGCAGAGACAGAAACAACAGGCTCTGAGCTTAGTTTGCAAACAGGCCCTTTGCGGATTGTGTGATGAAATCAGCCCCGCAGGCCCTCTGAATGCTAGCTTGTAAGGCAAGTGGCTCAGGGTTATTGTGGGAGTGAAATAAGGTGGACTTGAAAAACCTTTGTTTATAAATTAGATTTTTGTTTATAAATTATAATGTGTGACAAGCCAAACCTGCTGCCCTGGAGTTAATGCCAACTCATAATGACCATATAGGACGAAGCAGAAATGCCCCCATCAGGTTTCCCAAGCTGTAATCTTTACTGGAGCACAGTGTCACATCTTTATCCCCCACAGAGCAGCTGGTGGGTTTGAACTGACAACCTTTGGGTTAACAGCTGAACTCTAATAACCACTGTGCCACCAGCGCTCTGTGTTGAGAAGCAGGGAGAACAAAAGGTAGAGGGGTTGAAATGGAAGAGTTGAGCTTGTGGAAACCCACAAGATGAAGCGTGCGAGTGAGCTGAGAGAGTGAAAGGAAAAACCTGGAAGAGGTGATGGTTGTTGGGAATCTGCAGCAGGTGAGAGGCTACTTGGCTGTATACGCTGGGAATGTGTGCCAGGCCATGGCTTCCCTCCTCCAGGCCAATTTCCCTCTTCCCAGTCCCAGCTGGGCGCTCCCTTGGGAATCTCCTAGGAGGTGGGGCAACATTTCCTTCTTATCTTTTAAGATTAGGGGGCTTCTTAGAGAGATGGACAGAGTGGAACAAGAGATGCAGCTGCCGGACCAGTGGAGGTCAGGAAGAGGACGTGAAGGGTAGTGTCTGCACACAGTCTGCAGGCCTGTCCGTCTTGGGGTGCTGAGTGAGTCAGGTGGGTTAGGCAGCTCCTGCTTGCTTAGGATGTGGTCCTCGCTGGAGCACTATCATCCATGAAATCCATGAAATTTGCCAAACCTTGCCCAGCCCGCCCAGGAATTGATTCCTCTTGTAGCCATCCTGGAGGACAGGAGAGAACTCCCTCACAGGATTCTCAGGCTGTGATCTTTACAGAAACAGGCTGCTACCACAGTGTTCTCCCAAGGAGTGCCTGTGGGTGTGAACTTCCCACCCTTGAGTTAGTAGCCCACCAGGTCTCCTTCCCCCTGCCCCTGCTACCTCATAGCCACCCCATAGAGCAGCGGTTCTCAACCTGTGTGTCCCGACCCCTTTGGGGGTTGAACAACCCTTTCGCAGGGGTCACCCGATTCATAACAGTAGCAAAATGACAGTGATGAAGTAGCAACAAAAATAATTTTATGGTTGGGGGTTCGCCACAACATGAGGAGCTGTATTATAGGGTCACGGCATTAGGAAGGTTGAGAACCACTGCTGTAGAGGGTTT